TGTCAATTTCTTTTTTCTTAAATATATGGAACGGCGCTGAGTTGGAATTCGAGGCAGGTGTCTGCGGATTCCCAAAAAATTCTACGAATCCAATGATACCATTCTCATCTTCGTAGGACGTTAATCAGCTGAGATATTAATTAAAAACTGTGAAAACGCTAATTTTCGGGCTCATTTTTCCGATTGCAACAGTTTCTTGAATCGCCGCAGATACAAATCAAGGTTATATTCTAAAGTTGAATAAAGCACGCGATTGCATGTTACCTAACTGTATTTTAAAAATATTTCGTTAATGTAGGCATTTTAAATAAACAGCTGGCTTTTCACAATTTTTTTTAATTTCAGGTTAGGATGATTGTCACGTTAATTCTTTTATTGATATGAATAAAAGTTATTATATTACATTAAATTTAAATGATGACGTTCTTGAAGTTGTACAACTTTAATCAGCTGGGATATTATTAAAAAATCTGAAAAAGCTATTTTTTAAAAATATGTTGTTTTTTTTAATAATAAATTTGATTTTTTGGAACTAATATATTTTTTTGTTATTAGATACGTGCACTTAATTTAGATATTATCTTTTAATGCAAATGATATTTTAATAAGTTCGCACCAATAAAATTAAATTCACACTTTTTTTTTTTTTTTTTTAGATTAAAGATTTTTCTTTGCTCCTTTGAGATGGATACGGTAACTTTCGAATCCCGTGTGAGCAGGCAGGCTACACTCATGTTTTTTGTGATTTTACGCATATCTGTTGTGTATGCAGTGGCTTCTGGATGCATAAATGAATAAAGCTGAACTCTGGTAGTTCGGTCCTAATTTCGAATCCCGGCGAACGGGCTGGGTCATGGGTGTTTGCGTGATTTTACCATGTGCCTCGTGTACGCAGCTCTTCTGGATGCATAAGTGAATAAAGCGGCCAAAATTCGCTCAAAACCTCTGATTACTGGTAGTTCGGTCCAACTTTCGAATCCAAGCGACCGTGTTGGCTCAATGTGTGTTTTCGGGATTTTTCGCATGTGTAACGTGTATGCGGTATCTTCTGCATGCATACTTGAATAAAGCGGGAGCAGCCCGCGCAAAACTACAGAACACTGGTAGTTCGGTCCAACTTTCGAATTCCGGGGTACTGTACATAAAATTTGGTCGCATACGTGAATACAGCGCGCGGATACCGGGTAAAACCGCTGAACACTGGTAGTTTCGGTCAAACATTCGAATCTCTGCGAGCGGGCTGGCTGCATGGGTTGTTTTCCTGATTTTCCGCATGTGTATAGTGTATAAAGTGATTTCTGGATGCATATGTGATAAAAGTGGGCGCAGCCTGCTCAAAACCTCTTAACGCCGGTAGTTCGATCCAACTTTCGGTGTCGGCGAACGAGCTGGCTCCCCGGGTTTTCTTGCTTTAACTCATGTGTATCGTTTATGCAGTATCCTCTCCATGCTTATGTGTATAAAGCGGGCGCAGCCCCTCCACAAAATCGCTGAACACTGGTATTTCGGTCCTACTTTCGAATTCCGGGGTACTGTATATAAAATTTGGATGCATACGTGAATACAGCGCGCGGAATACCGGGTAAAAACCGCTGAACACTGGTAGTTCGCTCAAACTTTCGAATCTCGGCGAGCGGGCTGGCTGCATGGGTGTTTTCGTGATTGTTCGCATGTGTATCGTTTATAAAGTATCTCATGGATGCATACGTGAATAAAGCGGGCACAGAATACTGGTAATGCGGTAATTTCGAATCCCGACGAACTGGCTGGCTCCATGGGTGTTTTCGTGATTTTACGCATGTGTATAGTGTATGGAGTATCTTCTGGGTGTATATGTGAATAAAGCGGGCAGAGCCCGCGCAAAGCACATAACACTGGTAATTCGGTCCCAACTTTCGAATACCGGCGAACAGGCAGGCTCCATGTTTGTTTTCGTGATTTTACGCATGTGTATCGTTTATGCACCATCTTCAGCATGCATACGTGAATAAAGCGGGCACAGCACGCGCAAAATCGCTGAAAAATTGTATTTCGGTCCAACTTTCGAATCGGGCAGCGGGCTGGCTGGAGGGGTGTTTTCGTGATTTTACGCATGTGTACGGTGTACGCAGTATCTTTTGCATGCACACGTGAACACTGTTTTGGGCGGGCTCCCGCCCAAAAGCGCTGAACACTGGTATTTCGGTCCAAATTTCGAATACCCGCGAAAGGGCTGGAAGCATGGGTGTTTTCGTGATTTTCCGCATATGTATAGTGTATGCGGTAACTTCTGGATGCATAGGTGAAAAAAGCGGGGGAAGCCCGCGGAATGCCGCTAAAAAATGGTAGTTCGGTTCAACTTTTCAATACCGGCCAAATTTAACATAGGATATCTTTTAAAAACGAACAATGATAAGCGGGCTTCAGCCCGCTCAGCTGGCGGGCTTGCCCGCTAGTATTACAATAAAAGTCGTTAATTCAGACACCCATAATCCGGAATGATCTATAATCCGGACCTCAAAGCTAAAAACTTTCTGCGCATGCGCCTCGTTGGCACATGCGAACAGGCGTTTTATGCGTGCGCGTAAGACCTTGACTACTGCGCATATACGTGTGCACAAGTGCAGAATACGTTTTCACCTGCGCGTTTAATGTATAACGGACGGTGTAAGCTAAAATTATCTAATTATCTATTTCAGTTAATGTTAATGATTGCATTGTTCCTTAATCTTCGAATTGGATCCCGCTTATTATATTTTGCAGACTGTAAGAGCAATTTTATAAAAGTAAACTTGAACTTTCGATTATGTCAAATAGAATTTCCGATGCTAGAACTTCCAAAGGATCTACAAAACGAAAGTATGTTTCGATGTCCAACAAACAAAAAGTGGAATTGCTGCAAAAAATGGATAAAGACATGAAGAATGGGACAGAGAGGTTAGTGAAAACGAAAAAATTTCGATTGACAAGTTAGTCCGTATTCTCGGCACAGCAATTACGGGACTTTGCAACTGAACAAGAAATTATGTCTGTTTATAGAATTAAAGAGAAAGTATTATCACATAAAACGAAGCAACTTAAACAACTTACATTGAAAGAAATGTTTAATAAAGTAAACAAATAAATATTAAGCCTTTTTTTTTTTTTTTTTTTTTTTTTGTAAATTTTGATACCCTCTAGATTATAATTGTTCTTTATTTCATAAATTATGGTTTCATATTTTTAATTTTAGAATTTCTGCATGCCATCTTACGAGATTTAAACTAATGATCTATAATCCGGAATCGCCGAAGTCCCGACGAGTCCGGATTAACGACTTTTGACTGTATAAAAATTTATGTGTTACATTTGGCTATAAAAGAGACGTTTTTAAGATTGAAGTTAAGTCATAACGTGATGTATTTTGCAATCATCCACTGTGTTCAGACTCTTGGTAGACATTGAGTAAATTACTGCTAAGTAACAACTAAAAAAAGACCTTTATTTAAAACTAAATAAGAATAGAATGCACATTTTTTCTGTGTAACTCATCTAACCACTTGTGGTGACCTTTGTAAAGTTTTTAAAACATTAAGTCTTAAACATGAAAGAATGACCCTCTTTATGTTTTAAAAAATATCAACGATCATCGTCATCTTTGTTACTGATAGTAATCTGAATTTTTGTTATCTGGACTGACTCTTTTTGACAAAAGTGAAATTCAATTGACTTTTTGAAATTCAAATTAAAAAAGTGAAATTGAAATATGGCAGAAATTTGAAAGAACACAATTGGCATAATCTAAAGTATTGAATTCCTCTGCTCCTGTCTACAAATTGATTACAGTGCTAAAACATTTGTATAGTTACTTATTAGAGTATAAACTTAAATAATAAAATTATTAAATAGTTTTGCTCACCAGCGGCCGAGCAGTAAAGTCGCTGAACACTGTTAGTTCGGTCTGAGATTCGAATCCCGAAAATGGGCTGGCTACATGGACGTTTTCGTGGTTTTCCCTAGTGTAATGTGTATACGAGCTAGATTCCCTTAGAAATTCCTCCACAAAGGCATCACTCCCCTTAGGCAGATAGCCCTCAAGGCTTTGCGATAATCACACACACAAAAAAATTTTAAAATATTAAATAGTTTTGGTTAAGCATTCACTACTTTATTTTTCCTAGATGTTCCGATATTAATTCAAATCATAGCAGATGTAGAAATTTGAACAATCTCTCTATCTTTTATTTCCAGGTATGGGTACTCAAATAAATTAATTATTTTGCATTTGAAACTCTATATTTTGGGAATCTGTCTTACATAGTCTACAGAATGGAAATGCACATTTAGTATAATGCCGAGATGACTTTTAATGGCGTAATAAATATTTTCTGATGCCTGAAAATATTCTGTTTTTACTTTGTAAATATGCTTCGTTCATTTCACACATAAATAGCTATATTTTTCAGTTTGTAATAAAATATTCTTTTTATGAATGACTATGGGCAAGCGGATAAGACTTTTGTGCACTGATAGCTGACCTAAGTTTATCTTCCTGATAACTGAATAGACTAGCTGAATGGGATTTTTCTCCTCTTTAATATAAATAGGGCACATAGTTTCCATTAGAAATTCCTGCACAAATGCATTCCTTCTAGGGCAAATAATGCTTGAATGCTTTGTCATTATTAAATAACCTAAACCTTTCTTATGCATTTTTATTGAATATTTGTAACACTCTTTTAACATCTCTCCTTTCTCCTGCTTAAGATAAATGCATCTGCTTGTAACTAAAGAAATGCAATAGCAGAATTCTGACGACTGTGTTCCATTTTCAGTTGTCAGTGTCAGATTGCATTGACTATATAAATGTTTTGACTATATATAACATAAGGATATGCTTTCTTCCACTAAAATTCTTAGTACAGATAGCTTTTTGATGCTCTATTGTAATAAGTTACCTGCTTACATAATCACTTGCAAATGAACTAATGTTTATAAATTGATAACAAGAATTATTATTATTATTATTATTATTATTGTAGGATTATGTGAAAGCACTGGCCTATGCTAAAGATCGGGAACAAGTTGCTTCAGCAGGCCTTGATAGAGCTATTTTTTTGTGGGATGTAAACACATTAACTGCATTAACAGCTTCAAATAATACTGTCACTAGTAAGTGTTAAATTAGATATTATTTTATAAGCCATCCCCAAATTAAGCAATTTTTAGTTTCTTGTTGCCTTTAAAGAAATGGAATCAAAAGAAAAAATGAATTTCATATTTGTTAAATTGTATTATGATAATTTTTAGGTTGTTCTTGATGAAGTGATTTCTTCTAATTTGGAAATTTTCATTCTTATAGTGATCAAATTGCAGTAAACTGGTACCTTTAATTAATTTGAAAGTTATAATTAAGTATTAGTTAAACATTTTTCATTGTCACTCATTTCTGATCCTTTTAAAATGAAATAAAATAAGAACAGACCAAATTCAAACTCTTACATTTTTATGAATGAATTTGAATTGAGACATTGTAGCAAAAGCTACTCAAATTATGTAGTAGCTTTGGAAAGTTCAAGGATTGATGTTGTATTACTAAATTAGATGGCATGCAAGTACACTGGTGGGAAAAACTAAAAGAGCAATCATAAAAACTCATGCAATTTGAATGGTTTTGCAGCAAAGAGCATGAATCTTTATTCTGTCATGCTTGGTTTCTTCAAATTGCAAAATTGCCTATTTCTGCAAAAAATAAATAAAAATACAGGAAATACGATGTAAAATAGTGTAGGGAAACATTAGTGTTACTACTTTTTAAAGATACATAGAAAGAATTAATAAGGTGTATGGTTATCGTGATTGAAGCTTTATCCCAATTTTCTATGCTGTATATTAGATTGTGAAGGAGTTTCTATGATAACAAAGTGTATTCGTGGTGAATAATGTCTTAAAGCTCCTAAAGGGTACTCATTGAGGTCTTCAGTGGTGATAGAAGGCTTCATAGTGAGTCTCATGCATGCTAATAGGATTTAAATCCAGAAACTATATGGGCTACTCCATCTGCTGGATTCCTTCACGCTGAAGATAATTGGTCACTAATGCTATGTGATGTAGACAAATTTAATAGTTCATTAGGAGACACCAGTTGCACCTCTAAATAACTTGACATAAGAATCAAAAACATCATTTCCCTCGATTTCAGTGTAGTAGAATTAGTAAGAATACATAACTCCGTGGAATCGTTCAAAGTAATGTCCACTCACACCATGATTCCACTAACATTGCACGTACAGCCTTTTACTGATGTTTTCAGGCTTATTGTGTGCATTTTGCCTTCAGATTGTAGCACATCTGCAATCACTTTCCAAACAAAAATGAGAAACGTTAAAGAGAACTTGACTCCTTTCTGTGTTGCTGTAGCCATGAAAACCTTCTTTTATGCAGCCATTCATTCATAGTGTATCTGAATAATCAAGTTCCTGTAGCTCCAGTGAACTTCCTTGGAATCTAAGCTGATGTTAGTTGACATTTTCTTTTAGCAATCATTGTCAAATAAGGTCCTAAGAGTCTGTTGTGGAATTTTTTGCCTTTGACTTGGTTTTCTGTATACATAACCAGTATCTTTGAGCTGTTTCTAGATTCTTGATTTGATTCTTTTGGCTGTTTTGGGGTCTGTATAGATGATGTATGTCAGTGTCTCTTTGTTTTTATTCTCCCATTCTCATACCATTTCTCATAATTCATCAAATCCTTTTCAACAATATTTTCTACCATATGTATGTAAACAGTTTACTCAACTACTGGTATGATCTTTGAAGTTAAAATTCTTGCACTTTTTTTTGACACATGCTGAAAGACTGGGTACAAATAATTTCACATTTCTGTGTAACAAAAGTGAATTATCTTTGAACTAAGAGGTGACATTGGCCTTGAGCTACCAATCACCTTTCACTGGACTTCGCTTAACGGAATAACATAAAGCACTTTTTTTACATTTGTTCCTTTAATTCTTCCTGTTACATCCAGTTGCTATTCTGCAATCATGTAATTTTGCCTACTCTCATGCAACTATTCAAATTATTTCAGGAGTCCCTTATTAGGAATATATTCTATTATACCCTTCTTAACAGTCTTTTTAGCATCTTCATCACAGAAACGGTCCCTACGTCTATGGGAAACAAAAGTTGCATTGTATGATGTCTCTCATTAAAGAGGATGTGAGGTTCATATTAACCAAGTTATTGTGAACAGGCAGTTAATGATACTTTGTATTGTGGCCTTAGGGATATTATCATGAAAGACTTCCTGGAGGGAATATTGTCTCATATCCATGTTAGGTGTATGGAAAACTATGAAAACCTCATGCATTCCTATTGCGTAAAATGAACATGGGATAAGTTATCAATGTTTACTTTTCACTTTCCCATGGGTAAGTTCCACAAATTTGGCTTGATAGTTTTAAAGAAAAGAGTGTTTTGTCCAAAAAATCATGCTCAGTTGCTGGGCAGGATTAAAACAAAGTGCTCTGAAAATTGTAAATACTCTGTCCAAGATGCACACTTTCATTTTTGTTGCCTACGCTTTATAGCTAAAGGATATCTTTTCACTTGACTTCTTCAATTCATTAAAACTGTAATATGTCGTAATTAAAATTGTGGGTTGCAGATTGCCCCTACTGTGCTGTGCCGTGCCATAGAGTAATCAACAATTAATAAAGGTATGTTTTGATTACAAAATGAGTTCTGAGTTTTTAAAAGTTACAATGCAGGGTTCTATTAAATTCTCTCCTCAGACCAATTTATTATTACATATAGGATATGTATATATATTGTTTCAATCCTGTGGATTGCAATAAAAAAGGGAGTTAGAGCAGTCCCACATCAAAATTCAGCATTCTGTGGCTAATTGGTTATGAATTATGCAACTGACATCACAGAAAATCTCATTTTATAGCCCATTTTTGGAACAAAGAATCTTTTATTCTGTCCCTATGTACAGGGCCTTGTACGATCCTTAAGAGCCCTTAAAAGTCATTAGATTTTTTGGAATTGATTTTTAGTCCTAAAAATTGTCCTTAATTTTGGCCAAAATCAGCAGAAGGTCCTTAATTTTAATCATCTGAAATTTCTGTCTGTTTTTACGACTGCCATTTTGAGTGTGAATTAGCATTTTGGAGATTCACTGATGTATATATGGTTATCTTTTGAATGGGTTCATGAGTTATAATTTGTTTCTATTTCTAATATAAATGATGGGATACTTGAGTTTCTAAGCAAGAATTGAAACATAAGCATTTCAAAATTCATTTTTTCTAACAAAGAGCTTTTCGCTTTCGAGGATGTGAATTCTTTAATTAAACGGTTCTAAATTTGGCAGCTTATTAACATTTTTGCAATTTTTAAGATTAGCTTTTGTAGAAAATTTTTAATTCCGAAATCTGAGAATTTTTTCATGATTTTTTTAAAAACATTGTAACAGGTAATAAGGTAATAACATTGTAACAGGTAATAACATTGTAACAGGTAATTGATAAATTTCATTAAAATAATGGTAATATATTGAAATTATATTTAAAAAATAACATTAAAAAAACATTTTTATTTTTTGTTGTTATATTATAAAGTTTCATTTTGGCATCTTATTATACAATATTTTGAATCTGAAAAATAAATAAGGTATAATGCTATAAAGTACAATTTACGAAACAGTACATAGCAAAAGCAAAATTGGCGATGTAATTAATTAAAGATGTCTTCTTTTTAATTTTTTAAGAGTTTTTCCCATGTAATTGTCTCAGAAAAGGCAAAATTCTAAGAATTTTCTGTATAAAATTAATTTTACACTTTTTCCCTCCTCCTTTTTTTTCCCCAAAATATTTCTGGCCTTTTTGCAGTTATATTACAGAATTGGTAAGGATAATTTTTCTTCAGGATTTTAGACATTGCAGCTTGGAAGGATTTAGAAGGATTTGAAGCCAAGATTTATATACCCACGATTCTAGAAGATTCAAGAAATACATGACAAAACTGTAAAATGTCCTCCATGGTATCAACACGTAATAGATGTATTTTACAGAAAGTTTGCAATGAATTTCTTACTTTTTGGAAAACGTCTGGAAGAACACTGAAAACATAATATTTGAATAATTTACTTCTGATACTAGAATCTTAACATGTTTATCTTCCCTTTATTTTCTCCATTTTTCACTAGACACAAGCATGGAAAATATCAAAAATGCTTGTAATCTTATCACATGGGCAGGCATTATAGATAGGGATTTTTTTTATTAATAAAGAAATTGAAAACTTACAATTTAAAAGATTCGTCTAATATGTCTTAATGCATCATACACATAGCTGGCACTAGACATTTCCCACCTGACTAGACATTTAGCTGATGCAATCTCTGTGTGATCCTAAATTGTGCTGCCTAGTGCCTTTCTAAGTTCTGCTTCCAATGCCTGCTCTAAATTCTAAAAGTTTTGCCATTTCTAGAATTTTTTTTTTCGGTGTGTCACTAAATTCTAAAAATTCTGCCACATCAGCTCTTTAACCGGCCTGTACCATATATGTTTCATATTTCTTCTGAGTGTTCATATTATTAAAATAAAATTAGCCGCATTTTTTGAAAATTCTAAATGCATTTAGTGTTTTTTAGAATAACAGAAATCCTTAATTAAATCCAAAAATTCTAAAATGAAAAGGAAACATGTGGAAGAAAGAAAATGAGTACATAAAGAAAATTAATCTTCAAAGATATATGCAGTTATTATTATGTAAATTACCCAATTGTTTATGATTTCAGTCTTTATTATAATTTCCCGTTTCTATTTCCTCATATGATAGAGTTACTGAGCCAGATTAAATTAAAATTAAATTGTATAATCTTTGACCAGTAGTCCATATTATTAGTTTGAATTTGACTGTTCTTGTTTAATTCGTCACTGCGAGCTGTAATTGATTTTGTTAGCATCAGAACATGGCTTTATGTTCAAAGTTCTTTTTTAAACAAAAGGCTTATTTAAACTTTCGTCTGATATTGTAGTTACTTTCAGACATAGCAATAATATGCTTCACATCTGTCGACAGTTTTCGGCTATATAACTTTTACCAGGTCAAGTAAACCATTATAGGTACCTTGTGGAGAGGTTGACAAGTTAGGAGATAAAGCATGCAGAAACTAGCGAGAGCATTGGTTTGCATATTGAAACAAATCTAATTGTTAGAAAAGATGCTTAAAGAGAAAGAAATTGATATAAACTAGCCAAAATGTCTGGGAAGGCTTCAAATTAAAATAACGGATAAATATTTTGTTGAGTGTTGTTGTTACAAAACGTAAATGTTTTGTAGCTTTCAATGTGTAATTATTCTAATATCGTTTAAAAATCAATGTCAACCTGTGAAATTTTTTTAGATTTTGATTTTAATAGGGCTTTTTTAACAAATATTGTTAAAAAAATAAAATTTAATACTGTCATGTAAATCCATAATGACTAAGGTTATTAAACGACCTAATTTAATTATTTATAACTAACTGCATACCCTTAAAAATTATCTCTACATATTAAAGCGAGTTATTGCTTTTCAATAATACTCTCTATGGTCACAAGATAAAATACAAAAATATAAAATTTCAAGTAAAACTTATTCTTTGAATCTACTGAGACTTAAAATAATACAAAACAACTTATCACCTCTGGTGCTTTAAAGCCTTATTGGAACCTTAAAGTTTATTAACTGGGTAAGAACCCCTCTTAAAATAATACAAAACAACTTATTACCTCTGATGCTTTAATGCCTTATTGGAACTTTAAAGTATATTAACTGGGTTACAACCCCTCTACATGAAGCTATGACACTAACTGCATCAAACGGAGCCTGACTAACTTTCAACACTTGCCAACCGGGGCTACATCAGGCCTTTCAGGTTTGTTCTAATCAGCGGGTCTCTCATTAGACAAGCAGCAGCAGTGACAACATTCAGTCTTTTGTCTTTTACTCTGAATCATGCTGATTATGATCTTCTCATTTAAACCCATGCCATTTGACATAAAATCTACCTGCTACTAAACCTCTAGACTGACTAAGTATGTGACAAAATGAGACATAAAAAATCAACATAAAGCTAACTGTTAGTAAAACGTAAATGCCACTTATCTTCTTTCAAGTATTACCAACTATTATAAGTGTAAAATATTTAATGTTACTTGATAAATTGCGTAAAGTTTATTTTATTCTCAAACTTATTAGTAATTATGTTCATTAATTTATGTTTAGTAGTAATGCATACTACTTAGGGATCTATTTTATTTTTAGGATGATGTTACAAAAGTGAAATTCAGGCTTAGATATTTTTAATTGAATTTACTCAGTTCCCATTTGCTCATAGGTCCTTAATTTTTTTCATTAATCTTCCTTAAACGTCCTTACACATTTCTTCCGTGTGCAGAAATGTGTATGAGCCCTGATGTATAGTCGTCAATTGAAAAAAAAGAGTCAAAATGGATTTGGGAATGGTCAAAATGGATATTTCTGTTGAAATCTGATAACCAAAATTCTTTGTGATTGCAGTACTTCATTTATTTTATACAGGAAAGTAAAAACAAAGTATACACAAATACAAAATTATTATCACAAACAAAACACGCTTGTTTTGGTTAGATTGTACATGCCTGACAATGCTACTGTACTGCAGATGGGTCTAAACATGAAACAAAAGAATAATATTACACAGCACTGGAATCTGCAACTAACATCACAGGCTGCTGTACCATTCAATTTTATTTCTAATAAAACATATAAATCTCTTTTGTAATTAATAACACAATTTATTCACAGAATTGAAAATAAAATCTATTAATATAAAATATCAAAGATTGATTTGGCAACAAATTTAATTTATTATTACTTTTCAAATATTCAAAAACATAAAAGTAATGGGCCCTTAAACATTGCCTAGTGTTACCTATCTATAGCTATGCCGACTGACAGTTATTTCTTCCCCATGTAATTCCCATTTTCCTCGCCGTATAAACATGAGCCAGTTTCATTTAAAAGTTCTCTATGATGCATTTGCTAATTTATTTTTCAGCAAATAATATATTCTGATTTATATAAATTTATGTAAAATTAAAATGAGTAAAATTAAATTATCTTTTGATGTTGAAAAGTTAGAATTTTTTAATTAAGAGTATTTGGTTCTTCATATAAAATCCTGCCTTCTTTTTTCTGCTTTTGACATTTTAGTATGACACTGTTTTATACTTACAAAACATTGGATTAAGTATTTATTAACGCATATAAATTTTGTATATTTTGTTATGCTTTTATGATTTTAAATATTTAGGACACTATGTGCATCCTTAAAATATATTTTAAATATCAAGTAACACGATTTTTTTTTATTTCAGCATCATCATTATCAGGCAATAAAGATAGTATTTATAGTCTTGCAATGAATCCTCCAGGTAATGTCATTGTTTCGGGTTCTACTGAAAAGGTTTTACGAGTGTGGGATCCTAGAACTTGTCAAAAGCTGATGAAGTTAAAAGGACATTCAGATAATGTAAAAGCTCTAGCCATTAATAGGGATGGAACACAGGTAGCTTAATATGTAATTTATTATCTTTTATCATGTTTTGCTCTGATAATAGAATTATTTATTTAATTAATGAAGAGCTCTCTTCCCGATAAAAATTTTCCTGCAAAAGATTTCCAGGAATATAACAAATTTATCTGTGTTAGATCTGTTATACTTTTAATAATATGTGATTTTGTATTCAGTCGATGTATGTAAAAAGTGTGTAAATCAAGATGTAATATAAAATATTAAAACTATACAAAACATTTTTGGACTGTTATGTCAGAAAATTAAGGATTATAAACAGACTACGTCTATCGTAAAGGAAAAGTAAATACATGCTGAAAGCAGAATAAAAAAAAATTAAATTATTAAAATTCTTCATTAATAAGAAGTTACCAAATATAGCATTGTAAGTATCAAAGAAGTTTTTTTTTTTTTTTTTTTTTTTTTTTTTTTCTGCAAGTGACTTGAACTAAGATGCCTGCCAGTGAGAAGATGGCTGGGAGTCAAAATTTTTTAATCTTATGTGACTTCTTACCTGACTATTGGAAGTAACCTCAGTGGTTATCTTCAAGAAGTTCTTAAAAAAATATCCTTCTCTTAAGTATGTTTAATTAGGAAAACTTCTGCTTGTCATAAGTACCTGATATTCATGATGTTTTTAACTATCATTCAAACATGAAAACAAAGTTAGGATACAAGTTATATTAATTTACTTATTACTGTGAGTGTGCCGTGGACGCAAGTATTAACATAATAATTAGTACACTAAAGAATTTTCTTTGTTCTTAAGTAGCAGGGTTTTTAATTTAAAGTCCTTCTGATGCTTTTGTGCAGAAGACACTATGAGTTGGAAACTGAGGATAATGTCCTCAAAAGCATTGCCCTCAGTTTCTCACTTAGGATAATCTCAGTTTCTCCAAAGGCATGAAGCAGTTTCTGTGAATTCTGTTTTCTTAAAAAGGCTGGATTCTGATCAGATAAAATGATGCCTTTGTTGAAATATATTTTAACTTTTGTAGGTTTTGTAGGTTCTGCCATGGAATATAAACTATTAAATAGACTTTTGGGTCCTTCTAACATCAAGACCTGCAATTAACTGTGCCAATAGAGCTTTGGAATGCAGCTGTAATCATGGAGTAGCTGTTTGCTTTAATGGAGAAACTTTGGATTTCCATGCTTACTGTTAAGTCTTCGGTACTGCTTTTACAGTAAATCAAAATGCTCCATAAGCATTCTTAGAAGCATCTGTGGAACCATTATCTCAATTGGTGTACATGCAGTATAAAATCTACTTTTCATTTGTGAGCCCCTTTTTAGTTAGTTTATAACATGTTTTTATTATTCTAAGACATGTTCTAATAATTAAGTAAAAAGGGACATTCTATGCATGTAGCACTCAAATAAGTCTTAAAAATTGGCCCCTATGTATATGAATGTTGGTCACATGTGATTAAAAGTTTTTTTGATGTAGAAAACATTAATAATGTCAGATAAAATTAGTAGAAGTTTTATAAGGAGCAAATAAATCTGCAAGACTGCACTCTTTGCTCCTGATGAAGAGGGACTTTAACCTGCTTGCCCTTGAAATAGATTGAGAACTGGACATAAATCTAACAAACTCCAAGGTTGTTGTGTTATTAATTTTATGTTTCACTTGGCATGTTTCTCTTCTGGTTTCATTAATAATGTTGTCAATAATGAGGACTGTAGCAGTAAGGGAAAACTAAAATGACTGTGTTTCTAATCATGAAATGATAAAGTGCTGACATTTCTCTTTTTACTTCCTTGTACGAAGTAAAAAGGAAGTATTGTAATCGCGAAAAGGTTCAGGCAGCATATTTCAACGAAAATATCCATTTTGACCGCTATCGAATGCAATTTAACGATGTTTTTGCATGATATCTGTACGTAAGGACAGAATAAAATACTCTTTTCCTTCAAAAAAATTATAAAACTGCTTTAAAATGAATTCTGAAGAGAATTTTTCGTGGCGTCTGTACGAACATATCTTGCATAATTCAAAAACGAGTAGCCTCAGAACGTTGAAATTTTGTATATAGAACTGCTATAACATGTAGATGTGCACCTCGTATTTTGGTTGCAATCGGATGCACCGAACATATATAAATATTACATTTATATATATATCCACTCTGTTACTTGGCACAGTGATCTCAGTTTCTTTACTCTTATATATTTGTAAATTGTACATTTTTTGCTTTAAAAATGATTGAATTATGTTGTTCTTATCTTCCGGTTAAGGTTTTTATGCCTTTCGTAATTCTGGAAGCAATATTTGTACAATTATCAAAAATTTAAAAGCTGTTTAGGTGCGGTTAAGTTTTAAATAACATGGCGGACATATTTGTTTACATTTGAAACAGCAGAATTGTAGATTTGTTGCCAATCTGGAGAGACTAAGCTTCGCAACAACAAAAATAACGCCTTCATTTATTATTACGAATTAAATCATGCTTAATCCTTTCTGGAATATTTTCGAGGAAGTAAGTGTTTAAGATTTACTTAATTTTTAATAATTAGTAATTTAATTTTTAATAATTAGTAATTTTTATTACAGATATTTTGAGCTTTTATGTATTTTTGTCTTGTTGCAAAGTGAAAACTGAATTAATTGAATGAGAAATACTCAATCATCTGTGAAAAACTGTTTCTTTTTTATTTTGTTTGCTTAATTTCTTTTTTACATCGTTCTAGCTTTATTATAGTATTTGAAAAGAACATGTGGCAACGATTAGATAATTCTTTAAATGATATACATTTTGTGCATTCTGTGTTATAATATGAGTGAAATATAATACTGTTAAGTGAACCTAGTGCCAGTGTTAAACAAATAGAGTGAATTTTTAAGAATGTCTTTATTCTATTTGGTTTATGCGCTGTCGGTGAAGTAGATTTAATTCAATCCAATAAGTTTAAAAGAAATGCGAGAAACAAATGTGTATAGTTTAATATTCCGTACAAGGAAGTCATGTGGTGTACACATCAGATTTTTTTCCAATGTTGAAATGGTAATAATGAGTTAAAAAATTAATTATCAAATAAGATATATTGATATGATTAAAAATGATTGCAAGTTTAATTCTAAAATAAAAATACTTAAAAGTATAATAGATTTTTATATTTTATTTATTTTTTAAATTAGGAATAGTACATGTTATAAAATTCAAATTCAAATTAGGAATAGTACATTCATGTAAAAAATGTTATAAAAATTTCATGTTATAAAACTGTTAAATACAGCTTAATGCCTTCATGGCAGTGAAAATGGGAGTTTTATTATAAGCTTCTTTTAGTTAATGCTAATATATCTATGGCTCTTTTCATGTTAAAATGGGTCATCAAATACTTCAGAGTGGGTTATAAGCCTATTAATATCAACTGAAATGTTAAATTCTATATCATTTACTGTTTTGCTTTTATCTTATTTTTAATGAACATATATTTATTTTAGTAGTTAAATGGGTTTGTCGTAGCAGTTTCAAATAAAAAACTGTATTTATTTTATACTATCTGATTAATAATTATATTAATAAAATAGGCAGTTTTTATTTTCATAGCATGGTCATTTTAAGCAGTTTTCACTGTATATTACACTGTCTATATGAATTAGTAGTTTTTGTAGATTTCCTGAATAAATAGACCAGAGGAAAAAGAAAACAGGAACTTTTCTAAACTAAGCAAAACAGTTATTGTAAATAATGGCTAAAGATCGCCCTAGCACTACTGAAAGCTATTACTTTAATCATCCTAATGCTAGAATAGTATAGCCCAGACTTGAACATATAGGATGCATTGATAGGATAATTTGCTGTTATGACACATACTGTTAAATTTGAGAATTTTTTTATCATAACCTTTACCCCGTTGTGGATTCTAATTATTGGATGCCAATAAATTCCCTGCACAAGTTATCATGAAGAGAGTGAAATGAGCTAATGCAGACAAGAATACTGAATTAAATTCAGCTTGAATTTTAACAAGTCTCTATATGAGCTCTTAACATAAAATTTTATTGCAGAGAACCTATGTGACTATGCATTAATTTCAGGATAAAATTTACAATTCAGTTTTTACTCTAAGAGGAAGTACAAACTTCTGTTTAATATTAAGGAGTTAAACTTTCAACTGCAGTTTACCATTGTGGGCTGACTTCTCAGGAATCTTATGTACTAGGATTAAACAGCTTCTCGCTTGCTCAATGCACAGGCTCGGTCTGACGCTTTCAGACAAAAGGCAACTCTGCTGTTCCAGTTAGAAACCTATTTATACTCCTATGCTTCTCTTATAAAAAATCTGCATAATTTCCTGTAAGGAATGAGCTGCATGACTAAGTAAAGTTGCAAATTAAAAACCAATTTACTATTCTTAAACTAACTTGTCATACTGTTATAAGTTCAAATGTTAGATTTCAGAAGATAGAATAGAATTACAAATTTAGTTCATACATTCATGCTATTCTGAAACTGATTAAAAATTATTTCTAATACCGTATTTGACGGCATATAAGATGCACTGGCATATAAGACGCACCCTTATTTAGACGGCCACACACAAGGAAAAAAAGTTTCAATAGCGTGGTTTCTTTTAGTTCTCACGTTTCGTAAAAGCCAAATAAACAATTATTGAATGCAATTACGTATAAGACGCAGGTAACTTTTTGAGACCAAATTTAGGAAAAAAAGTGTGTCTTATATGCCATCAAATACGGTAACATCTACTTGTTCTTTTGATAAAGGAAAATGGGGCTGCTGAATATTCTATAGCAAAAGAAAATAATATTTTTACATGTTTCTCAGTTTTTGAGAACTTGTTTCTAGAATCTTCCAAAATGGAGTCAAATGTCACCAGTTCCGTGACGGAATTTATCTCCAAAGTTTAATTGATAAGCAGTTATAACATGGTAGGCACATGCTGTAACTTTGGTTCTCCTTTTACTGTCTATTCAGTTTCAATATATATGTGTGCAGATGATCATATACTGAGGAATAGCAAACTAATTTAGCATATAAAAGTATAATAGTTACTCGCATATATAAAATTATACAAAATGTACAAGAACTGCCCATAAAGCTGGTAATAAATAATGGTAAAAAAGTTAATGAAATTCACAGTAATACTAAAGAAATAATGGCTAGTACATAATAAATAAAAAATAAATATAAACAGAAATATTTACCTACAGTATGCTTATATGATTGTTTAAAACCTACAATACTGGCTAAGTAATCTTCCTGCCTTTGTGAGAATAGTGGCCTCTAAAATTAGATGAGAGCTATAAAAAATATGTAATGTTTATTGTTTAAAACAAAGTAAGTTGAATTTTATATAGAGAGATTTGTACTTTTTATGATAATTAATTGCATTCAGTATCTCTTTAGAAAAACTTATAAGCAAAATATTCCCCCTTTTTTAAGTGCTTATCTGGGAGTTCAGATGGTACCATTCGTTTATGGTCTCTCGGACAGCAGCGGTGTGTTGCAACAATTCGAGTTCATGATGTAGGAGTTTGGGCATTGCAGGTATGTTTCTTTATGAAGTAAACTTAGCCATGATAATATAAACATATATATAAAGATTTTAAAATATGGATACTTTGCTCAACATAAGACATTTTGAAGAATCTGAAATTTAATATTGTGTTTTAACCTCTTTTACACTTCATGACACTTATTGAAGTAGTGATTGTATTTTGCTTCATTTATTTCATTTGTTTCCATAGTCTTTTTTAATATCCAAGGTTTGCATCTAGAAAGTAATTTTCAATCACTGTGAAAGGGTTTACTTAATTGAAAAAACATCAATGAACTTTGAATTTATATGGAGGGATGTAGATTTAATGTTTGTCATGTCATTCCACCCCCCCCAAAAAAAAATTGGAGATGCTTCGGAAAGTTTGGAAAGTAGCTTTTATCATGATAAAGTTGTTTTCACTGAGTTAGATGAAAAAATGGTATAGATACTGCAATAAAGAAATAGAATTTCATTCTTATGTATATATGTCTTATATTCTTATGTTATAATAATGTAACTGATTTGAACATTTTTTTCAATTTTTATTAACATTATTTTTCAATTTTATAAGAACTCAACATTGATCATCTTTTTAAAATTTCCTTTGAATTTTTTTAATTAAATTTGTAGATCTTCATTTTTTCACTGAGTTAGATGAAAAAATGGTATAGATACTGCAATAAAGAAATAGAATTTCATTCTTATGTATATATGTCTTATATTCTTATGTTATAATAATGTAACTGATTTGAACATTTTTTTCAATTTTTATTAACATTATTTTTCAATTTTATAAGAACTCAACATTGATCATCTTTTTAAAATTTCCTTTGAATTTTTTAAATTAAATTTGTAGATCTTCATTTCCATGTTTATGATAGGAAATTGATTGTCTTTTTAACAGCAGTCATTTAGATAATTCATCAAATTAAAAAATATATATATTTCATTTGCTTCCACCTAAATAATTTTGGCAAGGAGTTCAACAACATGCTCTGCATTAAACCATTGTCTTGATTAAAGACCATGAGCATTATCCTTTTCAGAGGTTTGAATCTTTATTTATGATTTTGTTTGCTGTTAGTGCAGGGGTATTTAAAGACACTGGAACCGATCTTTGAACTGTAATATTTTTAATATATATATTAAGACCAGAATCTTTGTTGAAAATAGTTATAAAAATACACAGCATTTGTAGATATTTTTTTTTAACTTTTATTTCCGATGTGAAAACAATACTTTGAGCTTCCTTTTTATTGTGAAAAATAATATACATTTTGTAATTAGAAATGTTAACCCTCTGACTGCTCAATTTGTGGACCGAAATCGCATAACAAATTGTGTAAATTTTTTTTTTTTTTTTGCATATTTTAAATCTATATATATTGGAGAATTGAAAAATGCATTTTTCCATACTAGGAAATATTTTTTTATATAGATTTTTATCACGAGAAACTAAGTTGCCAGAAAAACCAATTTTAGATGTTATCACCAAAAAAAAAATTATTTTTTTAAACAAATTTCAGTCGAATTACAGTTAATTTCTATATATTGCATAATATAAAAAAGTAAAATAAAATTTAAGAAAATATAAAGCACTGGGGAAAAAATACCTTAGAAATGCAGTTTAGTATGATAGAGTTCAAAACAGGGTTCAAGGCAAAGTCCAATTTCACAGTCTTTGCACCAGATTCGATAAATCTAATTATTAATCTAATCAACAGATCTAATTAATAATTGAATAATTTAATTAAATAATCAAGATAATTACTGAATGTTTTCTAGCAGCCATTTGTCTAAGCAAAAAGCGGCAAAATGTGGAGTTTGAGCTGTAATACCACGTGGCTTCAAAACACCGCAATTGAGTGGACAACTAACGATATCTGTTGGCCAAAACATAAACTAAATGTCTAATACTGTATATAATTTATTTCAGTGGTTAAACGGGAAAAAAAATAGGATGCACTGCTCAGTAAAGGAAGAAAAACACATGCCTGCGGAAATCGCAGGATGAGCAGGTTTTGCTACATTTGAGTTGCCTGTGGAAATCGCGGCATGAGCAGCCAAAGGGTTAATTCTTCACAGCATTTTCTGTATTAAATGTTTCTCTTTAAAAGATGAAAAAAGCATTTCTTCAGTCCAAAAGTAGTTCATACATGACAATGTAAAGCACATTATATTTAACCATGCTAAATAATTTAAATTCAGAAGTAAATTGTTCCAAAATAATTCTTTTGAAACATTTTCAATTTTATTTTCCCATCAAAATTATTCTAAAAATGTGAAAACAATCTCTGTATATGCTAGTCATTATTTTTCTAAAATTTAAGTGTCCGCTTATGGAGTTTGTTCTCACATTTTTAGACAATTTTCATTGTCATTGTTTCATATAAAAATTTGTTTAGGCATCACTATTTATGCCTATGTTTATTATTAAATTACTAATGTAAAAATTGTTTAGGCATCACTATTTATGTCTATCTTTATTATTCAGTTACTAATATAAAAAAATTGTTTGAGCATTACTGCATAAGTCATTATTTAAGTTGTCATGTGTTCATAAACATGCCGTCATGAAAGCAAAATATAATAAATAATGATTTGCCAGATTGAGGTCAGGGATATAAAATACTAGTAAGTGTAAAATCAATCAATGTAAAGCACATTATATTATTATACAATCAATGATGTTTCTATATGTTTCGGTTTGAGATGCATGCCTAGCAGATATGCAGCTATAGAGCCAAATTATTGAACACATAAATTTATGCTAAAAGGATTCTTTCTAATGAGGTGTTTTATTTAGTACTGAAGTGAAATTTGAGAATCGGGACTCTCCATACACTGGTGTGCAAAAATTAAGGAAGAGACGGTTTTTTTCAATATAACTTTGTACAAAAGCTTTCCAAATCAACACATTTAATACCGTAAGATCCCCAATACGTAAAGACATGAGTAATGTAAGCAACACTTACTAAAAGAGAAACCAGAGGGATAAAAAGAAGCTTTATTGAAAAAGTAGCATGGAGTGCAGTGCGATGAAGGCCGAAACATCCCTGTGATGGGTGTCCAGCAAGAAACATCCGGTCTTTAATAGGAGATGTGATCTCCCCTGACTGCTAGGCAGGTTTCACAGCGTCTGCCCATGCTGAGAATGAGGGTGTCAGTGAGTTGTCGAGGCATTGCTGCCCATTCGTCTTACAGCGCCAATTGAAGCTTCGGAATCGTTACTGGTGGTAAGGTACGAGCTGCCAAGCGTCTGCCTAGAAAATCGATCGACATGCTCGATGGGATTGAGATCCGGAGATCGTGCCGGCCAATCCATACGTTCAATATCCTCACTCTCTAAGAGCTGTTTGGCAGCTACTGTGTGATGGCATGGTGCATTGTCGTCCATGAAGGAACTGCGGACCCATAGTGCCTCTAAAAAGACGCACATATGGAAGAAGAATCTTGTTACAATAACGGGTCCTGTTGACTGAACCTGCGTTGAAGATGTGAAGGTCTGTACGACTACCAAGCATGATGCCTCCCCAAACGAGAACACCTCCACCTCCATACCTGTCCCTTTTGATGATGTTCGAGGGATGATTGTGGCTTCCCTGCTCTCTCCAGATGAGTATGCGATGAGAATCGCTACTCAGACTGAATCTGCTCTCATCTGTAAAGAGTACTCGTCCCCATTCATTGTCTCTCCAATTCCAGTGTTCCCAGCACCACAGAGAACGCCTTCTCCGATGGGCAGGCGTTAGAGGTACACACCGTACAGGGCGTCGTGCAAACAGACCACCACCGTGCAGTCTTCTGGCCATAGTAAAACGCAATATCGGTCGTCCAGTCGCCTGTGTCTTGTGTCTAGTGATTTCTCCCGCTGTCTGCCGCCTGTTTCTTCTGGCCTGTAAGGCAATATACCGGTCATCTGCGGGTGTGGTTCCTCGTGGACGACCACTACTAAACCCCCAGATAGCTGTTCCTGTAGTTTGAGATTGTCTCCAAAGTCGTGAAATGATGCTGTGAGCAATTCCGAACTCTGCAGCCACACTTGTCACACTGCGGTCTTCCTCCAACTTCCCAATGATTCGACCTCAGGTAAAGCATCCAGATGTCGTCTAACAGATTGATTATTCGCCATTTCTCGCTGAGGCAGCAACTCGGTGTGATTTTAACTGCTACACGACATGCAATCTCTTTGCCAGAAATACTGATCTTACACCGACAACATGCTTTATACTACTCAGACACTCCCCCATTACGTCTACCTGCATATCTGCGCATGTGCTACCGTACATCACCTTACTTAATATCCTGATTGGTCTTTCTGTCTGCTCTGCCTCTTCGTTCAGCTGATATGCTAATTTTTCGACTTCGTCCGTAATTTTTGCACACCAGTGTATGTTTTATTATGGGGTGGTGAACAAATGCGTATGAACAAAGAAAAATTCCTAAAATAAAAATAAAGCAATTAATTTAAAATAAAAAAGTATTATTTCACATATTAAAACCATCCTAAAATAGCTTATTTTTTTAGGCAAATGAAAGTTTCATGACTGCATTTCACATATTAAAACCATCCTAAAATAGCTTCTTTTTTTAGGCAAATGAAAGTTTCACGACTGCATATTCTGGTGGGAGAGACAGAAAAATTTTTAAAATAGACTTAAGGAATACAGAGATAAAAGCTTTGATAGGTGAAGAAACTGCACCCGTTTTAAAAGTAAGAAATCATCAACCTTTTCAAAACAGTGTGTATTGCATGCATAACAAAAGCATGATCATAAAGTTCATATTTTTAATTTCCTCTCCTAAAAATTATTTTAGATGATTTTAACTCCAGATTCATCATCGCTGTGGGTTGCCACGACTGATTCAAGTATAAAAAATTGGGTAAGTAGCTTTTTTGTTTGTCTAACATCACCACTATTCATTTTTTTTAATGTTTTGTATTTAAATGAAGAAAGGGAGTTTATTTAACTTTTTAGTAGTTCAGAATATTTCTTTAGTAATTATTGAGACTTTTTTTAAAAACTTTGATACATACTATTGTTGCTTATTATTATTATCTGATGCAGTAGTACTTTAACCCTTTGACTGGCGTCCCACCTTTTTTTATCAGTTTTTACTCCCAGATGAAATCTGCAAAATTCCATTTAAAATACAGACAATTATGCCTTTTAGAATCTCTAAATGTATAACAGATGGCAGCACTAGTATTCATTCATGGAAATAATGTAAAATAAAATTTCTTTGTAGGTCTAATTTTGAAGCAGCTTTTTTTTTTATTATTTATTTATTTCTAATGCAATTTAAATCATCTGAACAATAACTTTTGGTGTTAGAATGAATATTTTTATGTGAAAGTTTCTTTTTCTAAAAAAAAAAAATTATTATTTGAATTCATATATATTAATTAAGAATGGTTGAAATTAAAAGGGGGGCCAAATAAATGCCACCGTGCATGTTGGAATTGCTGCTACTAGATGGCAGCACCATTCAAATATTTTTTAATTCAATTATCATGTTCGTTTTATATGTCGATAATGCAGACTTTTTAATAAATTGCAATAATGTTGAAACTTGAAAAATATTTAGTATTTTTACCAAAAGAAATGAAAATATAACTCTGTAACATGAAATGACATTGAATACTGAATGCATATGTAAGCATAGAAAAATATCCTAAGCAGAGGAAAGAGAGGTGAAATGTAAATCATGACGACCTTCTAAATATCTTCATTTTCGTACCTGTAGCAAATAAAGTAATGGAGCGAAAATCTTCTCTGTTTCGAATCTATTATGAAATCATTAAAAAATATCTAAAAAGTCGTACAGAGAGCAATTTTTTTTAAATTATGTAATTTTTTTGAAAAAAATATTTTTTATTTTGCGAATATGATTAATGTTTTCTAGATAATTATTCAAAAACGTTTTTTATATCTTGCATTTTTATTTGGTTGTTAAAACTAGCACTTTAGATAAGCATGTTAGGAGAATTTACGCTGTGGCAAAGACGCCATTTTATTGCTCTAGGTGTACAGTGGGACAAGCGGTATCCCACTATGTCATGAATTACCTTAAAGGTTTATTTATTTATTTATTTATTTATTTTGCATGAAATAACATTGTATTAGGGTCTAATTATCTATGTGTAAAGTAATTTTTTCCAAAAAAAAAATTTTTTTTTTATGCACCGAACCTCAAAGTGTTAAAGAAAGAGATGTATGAAAATAATTTGTAACTTTTATATGTAATATTATTGCATTATAGCTTATTATTATTATACTTTAAAGAAAGATGTATGAAAGTAATTTGTGAATTAAATTATCAATTTAAAACTGAATTTGTGTTTCATTATTTTCTTTTCATTCCAATTTGGGAAGGTTTTTTTCAGTCTAATGAAAAAGAATTTTATTCCTGCAAATTAGAAATTTAATAAATGTTTATGTAGTTATAAGTTAATATATTTTTCATCAAGTTGTTCTCTTGCTAATTTATTTTATATTATATCTGATGAAGTAGTATGTATGAATTATTGTTAGATTATATCTAATTTCAAATTTATATTTAAACTTTCAAAAATATGACGTTATTCTTTAAAACAGAGAATAATAATTATGATGAAACATAATTTTACAAATTTAATTTGCAAGTAATTTGGGTATTTTTCCATTAATGTGACTGTGGTCAACAACAGATATAAATGTTGCACAAAATATAGCTTGAACTAATAAATGGCATCAGAATTCCCTGAAAGAATTTAATGACAGAGTCTTCATCATTTGACAGTTGCTGGATTATAAAGTTAATCTCATTTCCTTCATAAGAAAATTATTAATAAATCAAAATCTTGCATGAAAAAATAGTGAGTTGCCATATTTGGCATGATTTGTAATGTATGGTAGCAGTCATCAGCACCTAGTGATTTTTGAAATGAATATACTTTTAATTTCTGTAGTTAAATAATGTGCATCCTTATGTTATGCAGAAAGCTAATGAAGCAGCAACTTTTTTATTAACTCTTAAAAAAGGCATGCCAATGCATGCTGAGTACACACATTATGAAAACAGAAAACCTTCATTATGCCTTAAATATCTCTTAATATTTCATTCATTTTTATGTTAATTATAAACTTAAACTATAATTTTATATATATATCAACTATTTTGAATATTTGATTTATTGAATTTATATTATTTTGCTCACTGGGTTCAGATGTTGTGCACAAATACTTTCCAGTATTTTTCATTGTAAAACAGAGTTTTCTCCTATTTCTCTGAGCATTTTGTGTACATTTTATAAATTCTTTTGAAGTATTTTTACTGTTCTAGAAAATTAGCATCACCGTTCTCTTTATTTTTAAATGTAAATGGCTTTGACTTGATTCTGTGTACTCATTTAAAAGTTTAAAGTGCTTTAAGAGCCTTAGAAGAAACACCTGTTCCAAAACTGAATGGATAACTCTATTGCAGATAATCAATAGCTCTTTCATTAATTGCTGCAATATTTAGCAAATAAATAAAAATTCAAACCTAAAATATATAAATAGAAAATTATCATAGCCACTAATTAAGTGTTCAAGCTACAGTTGTGATGTTGCTATTCTGTCAATGTTTTCAATTTCTGTTATCAAGTTGTTAAAAGATATGATTTCAAGGTTTTGTTGAGAAATTTGAATAATTGTCCATTTAAATATCATTAGACATTATAATTAATAGGGCAGTATTTTTTCCTTTGATGTGCAAAAAACAACTGCTGCTTGCTTTTGTATAGACAAATAAAAAGAGAACTATCTTTTTTGGTATGGGAAAAATTAGGGTTAGTTTGTCTTGTTTTGAAATGTTATTTAATAATTTTCTGGCTATTATATTTTTTATTTAAAAAAAAAAAATTGTTGGCAGTTTTTTTTTCCCCCCCTTTCTTTCTTCTTATGCAGTAGAATCCAAGATCCAAACTCATCAGAACTTCCGCAATCTTGGATTTCAGATCCATCAGTTTAAATCTATGTTAATTTATTTTCTTCCTTCTTTATGCATGCCTTCATGGAGTAATGGTAGCACACTTGGCATGTATTCAAGAGGTCCAGGTTCGATTCAAGAAACCTAATGACTACAAGGTATCGCATACATATAGTATTGGGGCTTCACTTATTATTTAAATCAGAAAGGAAAATACTATTTCCCCAGGTACATGGCTGGCACCAGAACTGGTGCAATCAGTGTGGTCGTATCAGGAGTGAGAATTAAATGGGTGGCCAACGTTTTAGAATTTAGAAGACCACCAAGCAGCAAATATTAGGGATGGCAGAATTTTTAGAATTTAAGATGGATGGTAGAGTTTATGGCAGTACTGGCTAGCAGAATTTAGGATCTGCAGAGATTGTGTTGGCTGGCAAAATGAGTAACACCGGCCCTTCTCCACCACACAACTACTCAAAGACCGGAAGTGTATGATCCTAGCCAACATCAATGCAATGTCAATCAAAGCTTATTGGGTATGGTATGACTTCCTAGCAAGCAAATGTTTGAAAGTGGCATGCAGGAATCTGGGTTAGTATAGGAAAAAATTCATTTACAGCACACCTGCTTCCTTTTATCATCATATTCTCCATTCCTAGACTTTATAAGGGAAATATTTTCATTACTATGGTTTATTTTTTTGTTTGGCAGTCTGGAAGTGCGGATATTGGATCATTCCAAAAATTGAACATCTATATTTTGGACTTTGTGCCTTTTATTGACTAATCACTGTCAGAATTTATTCCAATTTGTGTAATAATCCAATCAAGCATTTCCAGATTTACACTGACATGAATTATTGCTAATTTAAAATGATTTATTGGACTATTTCCTCCTAATAAAATTTTCATTTTTCTGATATAAAAGTGCATCAGAATCAACTAACTTATGGAAATATTTTTATCCATACATGATTTAACAAGAAGAGATATAATGTTAAATTTTGAGCAAAGAAGTAAGCTTGCTTTTATCTAATATTTTTAGTATGTTCTTCTAAGAAAAGTATTGCACTGTTTCCTCCAGAAGATTTTGTGTTCAAAGAATGTACTCCTAAATTTAGCTGCAAAAAATTTCATCTTTTTTTTTCAGTTGAAATAAACAGCAAAGAATCAAATGGTGTACATAACATACCAAAATTTGCATGATGATGTTATGAATCCTATGCATATTTCTATGCATATATATTAACATCCTATGCATATTCTTTAGGATTAAGGAATTTCCAAAAGCAATTGCCAATTTTTATTAAATTTTGGTATTATGTGTGTAAGTATGCTAATATTTTCAACCTCACATACATGAAAAATATTAATCATATATGGTGAATTGTGCAAAACATTGCAACTCACTATCTTTCAATTTCTGTTAATTGTTCTTATTATTGTTCAGTAAATGGGATGAATTTTACAATTTGGCAAATGCTAGGTGATGGAGTTGCTATCACTTTGGTTTAAAATTGCATTCTCGATTGCTTTTGCTGAGACATTAATGGCTAAAACTGAGGAAAATGTTTGGTGAAAGTATTATTATTTTTTATAAAGATTGTTGAAGACAAAAATGATGAACTGCAAGCTGCGGTTATGAACATTTCGCTTTGTCATATCAAAGTATTTGATCCCTTGTAAGACAGTGCGAAATGCCATACTAAATGCTAGAAAAGCACTTTTCATCATCATTTTTAGAGTCAGCAAAATTGATGTGGTACAAAGTGGTAAAACTGTGCATTAAAAAACTGAAATGCTAAATGATAATTAACAGTTTCATGGCTCCTGTTTTAACCTTGCATCATTTTTCCTCTTTTCATATTTATTTGATGCAATAAATTTATTTCTCATGACTCGGGCTTTTCTATTCTTACATTTACGCTTGGTGATGTTAATATCAGTGCACTTGTCTACATTTGGTTTGACATTCCATGAACTGAAAAAAATCTGTTAATGTGAGTGCAATCAAGCTGTTTTAGAAAAAGGTACCATGTACATCTCAGACATAATAATAAACATAATCAGATATTTTAAAAGCAAATAGATGCTCTCTCATTTCAAGGCAATAAAAGTGGTAATTACTGGTTTTCAGTTTTTGTATTAGTTCAAACTTAATTTGTATTTAATAGATTAGTACATGTATTATATTGATGTATTGATGTTTGACTTTGTATATAAGTTTACCACATTTCTTTTGTAGCTGCTAATTTATGAATATTGAAATAATGTTTGAATATTTTTGGAGTGCATTATTACTCAAGGGTGTTGGATTATTTCAAAGAACATTAAGATCCATATTTGAAGTTACATGGGAATGTTTTGTTCTTGATATGCTTTTTTCTATTGTTCTGTTTAACAAATTGTTTAAATTTATGCAATTTTCTAGGGTTTAATTTATTTCATATTTATTTTAGTCTGTAAATAATCGAAATTGCAGAATGGATGATTATGATACTGAAACTTTACCTCCATTAAACCAGCATCCTGATCATGTGATCAAAGGTAAAACAAAAATGCTTATTTAGCTGATTCAGTACATTTCAAAAGTGTTAATGCACTTTCTGGTTTCATTTGTATATGTTAATTCTTTCATGTTTTAGTCAAATATTTATCATTGTAGGAAATCCTAGCATAAGACATTATGCTGTTCTCAATGACAAAAGGCATATTCTTACCAAAGATACTGACAACAATGTTCAGCTGTATGATGTTTTAAAAGTATGTTTAATTTCTTGTATATTGCCTTTATCAAATTTTGATGTTTAATTTTTTTTTTCTAAAGTCCACCTGACAGTTATATATAGTTGTTTTGCTTTTTTTCATTTCCTGTATACATTTAAATTTTTATGAATTGCTTTTAATTTTGTGCACATATTTCATATTTTCTTTATCTTGGTGTATGTATATATTCATAATATTACATCCATATTTAGCCTCATATTCATAACATCATCATACTCTACTATTTTCCCTTATTTTTAAGTAACACTTAGCACAGTAATTTATTGTTTGTTTATTGTTACTTTATGTTTCTTGTTATTATATATATATATATATATATATATTTTTTTTTTTTTTTTTTTAATGGCAAAAAAGAAAGGAGAGACAGTTCTATATCTCCTATTCTACTGAGCCAATTCACCAAGTTTGTTTTTCATGTCTCGAAAGCCCAACTTAAGATATATATTAGATTTATATATAGCATTGTTCTAATATATGTATTTTGACACAAAATTGGACTTTTTCTAAAATGGCATGCCAATTTTTTCCCCTATTTCGATTCTACGATTCAAATTGTGAGTAAATATAAAATTTTCTAAAATTTGGTGTGAAATGTACAGAGAAATTCAAAAATTTACTTTGGCAAATTTTTTTTCAGTTTACACGAAGAATAATTCACTTGGTAAACTTAATTTATAGCAACCTATTTTCCTTTCCTTTTTTTCATTGTAAACGAGCAGAAAAAAAAATCATCTTTCATTATTTCAGATAATTTTAACAAAGGGCATAAGTAATTTGCCTAGTTTTTTTAGTGCCATATATTCTAGCATACAATCTGCGCCTATTATTTCAAATTACATTTTTTTTTTTTTTTTATTTTTAGTATATTCACTGTATTACGTGCACCCTTTTCTTTATGAAGAAACCTCAAAATACACGTGCACTTTAGAAGTCATTCATTCAAAGATTATTTCCAGGCTTTTCAAACATTGGTATGCTGATTTGATAAGCGATAAGGAGAAGAACATGTGTGTCGGAAAAATGCTTGAGGGAGTAAAGAATTCTCCAATGAGGGTGGGTTGTATTTAATGCAGGTTTGCACAAGAATGTTATATTCTAGGGCTTCAAGAAAAGGTGGACATAATTTAGGGTAGGAATGCACTTCTGACCTGGCTGAATTCACGAATTAGGAATCAGCTGTTTTCTCTTTCTGAAATCTTCAAATGATTTTGAAGTGAACATTGAAAGCTTTAGTAAATTACATTTCTGTCAGTTGAAATACAGTTGATCTAGTTTCCTTTTAGTAATAAATATGGTTCCTGCCATATGAAACACACACAGTGTTGGTTTCAAATACAAAGTCGTTCAGTTTGAAAAGAAAATGGAAATCATGCCGCAGCAAGGATGGCCTAGGTGAAATCTCCAAAGTGAAATTAAAAGAGACTTTGGTGTAGTCAATTTATGACATGGAGTAATTTAATTCTATGAGAAAAAAAACAAGTTTTGCAAAGACTTCCAAAAGATTTTGACAACAAATTGATAAGTTTCCAGAAGTATATTGTTGACCTATGAAGGGAGAAAAAAAAAAAAAGAATCATTTACTACCACATATTGGAAATATGGATGAAACTCTAGTCAGGGATTGGAAGCGTGCAAATACGGCTACTTCACAACATGAAAACTGACTTGAACTTTAAAGGATTTACTTTGATTTTGTCCAAAATCTCTACAATTTTTTCTCATCGTCAACACATTATTGAGATATACTGGCTTTAAATTTGAATTTTGATAAAAATAAAAATGTACTGAAAAGCTTATCAAAAACACATCGGTCTTCACATGCAGATACAAATAACATAACATAACAATGGTGGCGCTTCCTTCTTATAAAAAGAAGGAAAAAAGCTTAGGCAATGTTGCCCATTACTCTTCCGCCATTTGAACATTTAAAACAAAGATTTTAAATGGTTATTCCCGTGTAAGGTAAATAGAAGATAAGATCCCAAACTACCACCAAATATATAATATTAGTTAAAGATCCCATCTTTAAATTCAGGGGGTCAGTTAAATCGTTAAAACATCCCAATTAGATGAAGAGCCGATTCAATTCCTCCCAAACCACCAAATGCCAACTCTTGACCAAGCAAGGGTGCGATGGTGAGTCTGAAAAATAAATTAAATAAGGAGGACAGAGGTGCTTCCTTAAGCCAAGTGGGAGAGGGAATTTCCTGCATAGTTTCTTTTGCCAAAAAAAAGGGGGGGGCTCACAGGGCATCTCATTGCTGTTTTTTTTTTTTTTTTTTTTTTTTTTTTTTTTTTTTTTTCAAATTCACCTTACCTGTAGGTGATACATTAGGAACCCTATTATGCCAGACAGTCCTTTGTACAGAAGGGCCTGATCGAAACTGATGTAGGGAAATCCAAGGAATTTGTTTTTATGAATAGAAAATACTGGACATCGTCCCAGGAAGTGAATAGGTGTTTCCTCTTCTTCTCCACAAAAGCAGAGAGGAGATTTGACAAGACCACATTTGTTGAGATGCTTGGCCAGATAAACATGTCCAGTAACAATTTGAATTACCTGCCGTAGGTTAGTTCTACTGAGATGTATGAGTTTACCTGATAAGTTAAGTGTACTGAGTACCAATTTAGAATGAGCACAGTCTGGTAGTTTAGACCATATATCGTCATGTTTGTTCTTTACCCAGCTTCTTACTTCTTTTTTAACAGTTTGATATGAAACTGGGTAAAATGGCTCTGGGCCAGACATGGGTAGTTGCGAAGCATCTTTAGCTACTTTATCGGCTAGTTCATTTCCAGCAAAATCAAAATGACCTGGGACCAAAACTAAACTAATGGTGTTATGGGCCTGAGCCAGAGGATTGAGATCTTGAGCATAGTTCAAAATATAGTTTTGTAACTTGACATGATTAGTCAGAGCAAGGATGGCTGATTCTGTGTCAGAAAGAATATATATGTTCTTGTCAACCATATTCTTAGCTAAGAGCTCCTTGACGACCATATTGGTTGCCAGAACCTCCGCTTGGGAAACAGTTGCTAGTTTACCCGGGTATAGATGAAATCTAATGAAATCTCCAGATCCCTTGGTTCTTATAATAAATAGCTCCAGCTCCAGTGAAATTGGATTTTGATCCATCTGTGTAGCTTTCAACTGATCCTGTTGGGATTAGGTCAATTAGAGATTCTATCTCATTCCTTTTTGGTAAATAAGTTAAGAATAGTTTATCTGGAGCTATTGTTTTAGTAATTGCATCTTTGGGCATATATATTATAGGGATCTCATTGCCCAAGTCAAGGCCGATTCAAAGTCAATGTGGCTTTTATGACTGAAACCTGTCCTTTGGCACCATGTGCCATTTTTATTCAACCTATGCATTGCTTTAATTTCTTCTCCACTCAAGAACAGTTTCAAGGGTGGAATTTGCAGTAAAAATTCTAATGCGCCAGTAGGGGTACTGTAGTCCCACTAATGCATAGACAAGCAAGTCTTTGCACCTTCTGCAAAATGTTTACATATGTGCTTTTGTTAATAACATTGATCCATACCACACATCCATAAGAAAGCATTGGCCGGATTATGGCAGTATAAATCCATAGAGTAGATTTTGAGTTAAGGCCCCCATTGTTTGCCAACGATTCACCTACAAAGTATTCGTACATTTGTGCTGTTTATGTACCTCGTATTAGAATGGCGCCGACATGGATGACGCAGTTTCGACTTTGATTATACTTAATAAATTCAGCCACTCTCGGTCTATTTCAACCAAACTGAATACATTTAATAATATAACATTTAGTAATAATTCAGGAGTACAATTAAGCATAAAATAATAATTACAACCGTTACCGCTACGCTTTTAGCAACCGAATCCTACGAACGACAAATCTCAAAAGCATGTTGCCAACGAAAAGGTAGAAATTAATTCGATAGGCGTGGCAGTGAACATGTGCCTTTCTTTTATATGGGTGACCCATGTGAGTTTACTGTCCAGGTAACATCCTAGGTATTTAACGCATTCCTTACATCTGATAATCTGGTTACCCAGATACAAATCTGCCAGTTTCCATTTCCTGTTCCACCTGAAAACTATGACCTCTGATTTTTCAGCAGAGAAAGATAGGCCATTTGTTTCACCCCAGTGTGATACTTTATTCAAGATTTGCTGAGCTTGATTGTGTAGGGTTCCAATATCGAAACCCTGTAGTAACACAATAAGATCATCTGCATAAGCCTGTGACAGGCCGGGCTCCTCCTGTAGAAGTACTAAGAGTGAGTTGAATACCAGGTTCCACAGGAATGGAGAAAGAATACCACCATGTGGACACCCTTTAGTAATATCTCTCTTTACTTCACAGTCAGTTAGACTAATGCAGATATTCCTGTTTTTAATCATAAAGATGACCCATCTTGTTATCATAGGGTTAATATGACTTCTAATGAGGGCTTTATGTATTTCCTCGAAGCCGATGTTATCAAAGGTTCCTACAATATCCAGTAGAATTCCAATTGCAAAGTGTCCGTCTATAATTGTTTTTTTCAATTTTCCACACCAGTTTGTGTGGGCTGACTCAGTGGAGAAGTCAGGTGTAAAACCATGTTGGTCTAAGCCAAAAATATGGTTCAGATTATTATCTGACTGGAGGTGCCAGAAAATCAATCGCTCCAACAACTTAAGCTGGAAGGACGTTAGTGTGATTATTCTAAATGAGTTTGGTCTCTCATATGTATCTTTTCCTGGTTTGGGGAGAAACACACCTCGTGAAGTTTTCCATACCTTAGGAACATATCCTAAAACCAAGCTGGATTCGAATATGTCCACGAAAAAGTGGCCAAAAATGTCCCAGCCTTTCTGGAGCAGAATTGGGTAAATACTATCATTCCCTGGAGATTTAAAGGGAAGAAATACATCTAGGGCCGCTTTAGCTTTTTCGAAGTTCACTATTGTTTTAGCAAAATCCGAATTTAATGTACTATG